AAGTTGCAGGTCTCTGAACCCGCCAGTGCGGTCCGCACAAAAATGTGTGCGACCGCGGAAGGCGGCCAGTGCGGTCCGCGGTCGGCTTTGTGAGGTGCGCGGAGGAGGCCTATGTGGCCGCAGTCTATTTCGTGCGGTCCGCACAAGGCACTGGACCGCAGTACCCTCAGGAAGGCATGTGTGGTCCGCACAGGGGGTCTGAGAGGGGTATAAATAGACGAGATTTTCAGTTATTTTTCATTTTTCAAAACCCCAAAAACATAAGAGGCGCTTTTTCAAACAACATTTCTTCTCCAAATCAATTGTAAGTCATTTTTAACTAGTTTTCTTCAATCATTAACATCTTTTAACATGATTTCAACTTCAAATCAATGATTTTCATGGGGAAATTGTGATCCTAAGTTTTTCAAAAATTGGGGATTTGGACCTCGATTTGAGGTCTGATTTCAAAACAAATTATATATTTGAGTTCGTGGGGGAATGGGTAATCGAGTTTTGGTTCGAACCTGAGGTTTTGACCACGTGGGCCCGGGGGTAATTTTGACTTTTTGTGTAAAACTTTGGAAAACTCATTTTCATGCATTCAAATTGATTCATTTAGCGTTTATTGATGTAATTAAGTAACTTTGACTAGATACGAGCAAATTGGCAGTGGAATCAAGGGGTAAAGCTATAATTGAAACTTGAGTTGTGTTCGAGGCATCGATGTAAGTGTTTGGTCTAACCTTAGCTTGAAGGATTAGGAGTTGTGTCTTATTTGCTACATGTTAATTGTGGAGTACGACATATAGGCATGGTGACGAGTATCTATACGTTGGTGTCAAGCATGCCCGTGAGCCTTGTATTATAATTGCCATGACTCTGTTATGGTTTATTGCGCTTCATATGTTATTATCACCATTGTTCCCTTGCCGGGATGTTTGTTTTGATAGTATTGTTCCCTTACCGGGATGTTTGTTTTGATAGTATTGTTCCCTTGTCGGGATGTTTGTTTTGATATTATTGTTCCCTTGCCGGGATGTTGTTGAAATATCATTGTTCCTTTGTCGTTTTCCCTTGTGATNATTGCCGAGAAGTTGTTATATTGCTTTTGTTCCCTTGTCGGGATTCCTTGTGATTATTGTTGGCTTGTAAATGGGAGCGGGTGGTACGCCTACCACAAGATATGATGAAATGGGAGCGGGTGGTACGCCTACTACAAGATAAGATGAAATGGGAGCAGGTGGTACGCCTACCACGAGGTTTGATGAAATGGGAGTGGGGGTACGCCTACCACGAGATTTAATGAAATGGGAGCGGGTGGTACGCATACCACAAGATATGAGAAATGGGATCGGGTTGCACGCCTGTAACAAGATGTAAACTGAAAGTGAAATTTGCCTTTATTTTCTTTATCCTTGTTAGAAGTTAAATTTTGGTTTCCTTATAATTTTATTGAGATTCTGCCTTATCTGTTATTCCCCGAAGCATGTTTCCCCTCACCAGTTTTAATTGTTTGTTTTCGTCTATCTTCCGCTGTATATATATACATAACTGCACAGGTTTATCTGGAGTCTGGTCCTAGCCTCGTCACTACGTCGCCGGGGTTAGGCCAGACACTTACCAGCACATGGGGTCGGTTGTGCTGATGCTACACTCTGCACTTATGTGCAGATACAGGAGCAGCGCTTGGTCAATAGCTTGGGAGCTAGCCTTCAGTCCACAGAGATTCCGAGGTAGTCCTGCAGGCATTCGCAGGCCCGGCGTCTCTTCTATCCATTTAGATGTTCTGTTTTCTTTTGTATCCGAGACAGACTATATTTCTTTTTTCAGACACTTATATGTAGCATTCCTAGACAGTCCGTGAATGTTGTGGCATCAGTTTCTGGGTATAGATATATGTTGAATTTTTATTCGTATCGGTTTTGGTATAATATTTATCTAAGTCTTCCGCTTAAATTTCATCTTTCGTCATTAATTAAATGTTGATTACCTGCTAATTTAATTGGTTAAAAAAAGCTAAAATGAAAGAGGTTGAATTTTTCGCATTTCGTGGCTTGCCTAGCTTCTATGAGTAGGCGTCATCACGACTCCCGAGGGTGGAAAATCCGGGTCGTGACACTTATGAATGACTAGAATATAATCTACTAGACTTTTATTATAGGTCGTGAATTCAGAGGCATATCCGAGATATTAAGAAGATGGGTGCACTATTACGAAGAGTTGGATTCAGAATTTACACTTCACGAGTTCAACCTTTAGGTTCTTACAATGAACACATAGCACCTTTGAAAATATAGGTTCAAAATTAACTCTTTTTCGTTATTTTAAATTTTCACATATGTATCTATATTTCATATTAAATATATTGGGATCGGTTGAGCTCATTGACTATGCTACAACTGAAATATAGCATTATTATGAATTGTCTACAAAGCAGAGAATGGATTCACATAAATCCATACCCTCCCTATATATATGCCCCCGGTCATGGTCGATGAGAACTTATAATCGGGATCGACAAATTGAAAAAATAACTATTGCTATCGATACATGTTAAACCAAAAGCAATTGAATTCAAGGGCCACCTCTAATAGTGACATATTGCATTGCATCTATGTAGCCGTCCATAAAGTAAAGGATACTAGTAGTATTTTACATGGCGAAACAAGGATGCATATCAGAAGAGTAGTAATGTTAATTGAGCGTGTTGGTATAAAATTGTAGAAACAAAAAATAGAGCTTTAATTTAATACTGTAATTACATGTATGTTTACCCTTAAAATTGGAAAACAATTAAACTTATAAGTGGTTTTAAGTATATGTGATTTCACTTGACACAAATTGAAAAATATGATAATTAATATTAAAAATTAACTATAAAATAAAGCAAACCAATATAATGAGCGATTATGGCACTCGAGCTAGATCACCCTCGAACCAACTGAGTATGCTAATGTTGTATGAACTGAACAACAGAGCTTAAAAGAGAAAATATAACGTATTGCTTGTTATGCGTGAATATGATGATTACAAAATGATTAGAACCCCCTTTATATATTAGAGGAATTCTATTTATGATACAATTCTAATTACAGAAGCAAATCCCATGATAGGCTAAATAACCGGTCTTTGATTTGATACGTGCCGAGATTTTCGTCACGGTCCTTGCCTGACCACGGATATCTCGGCTTTCTGTTATTCGACTTAGCCGGCTCCCTTCGACCTCGCTCGATCTCTATCCCGCTTCGGTCTCGATTACGGCTGGTCTCGATCTTGATCGGTCATTGATTCATGAGCTTAGCAATCCATCCCCGTGCCATGGTCCGTCATAAATCAAAGCCGATCCTGACTTATTGTGCTTCATCCTCGATCAGTCTCACGAAAAGGGCAAGCCCGATTTTGACCGTATACAACATATTTAAGAAATTTATGTCCCACTATGTTGTTTTTGGATGTATAACAGAATTCAATAGCCATTTATAAAGCCTAACAAAATTTAAGTTATGCAAAAAACTGAATTTTCCCAATTAATTTTAAATTTTGGATATGCCTTAAGTCAAAAGAATTTTTTTTAAAGGAACTAAGTGGACGATTGGAACGTATGTTCTTCATTTTAATTTCAACCTTTTAGATTAATTGATCTTTGTAAACCCCTTTTAACCACAAAAAGAAAAGATTAAATATATCTTAATTTGGTAATGGCCGGTGAAACATCACCTTAAAAAGGAGTCATGGTTGGCCATAATTAGCTGAATAATAACAAGATTTTCAACAGGTAGATGTGGCCCTTTTGTTAAGAAATTGTTTCAGTTTATCTTGGTATTGAAATTTATTTTATTATTTTTTGGACTTTATATTTAGAAAAAGCTTATCTTCTCCAGAAATGGACTTTGGACCATCTTTGCCGAATGGCCCTGCTGCTTTGGCAATCTTTTAAGGAAAAATGATACTGTATAGTTATTTTTAAAATAATAGTTGGATATATATATNTGAAATAATAGTCGAATATATATATATTTGTATATTATATACAAAAATATATAAATTTTATACACTTTTATCACTATCAAATGTAAATGGTTTCATCCGCAAACTAAAAGTGATCTTTGCCCATCTTTTTAATATGTAAAGTAGCAGCCTTCAACTAATACTGACAAACATCACGTTAATTGGTTGATTATTATCACATTTTTGGTAATAAGGTTTCATACATTCCTATACCATATAGGAAATCTTATTACTCTCAATGTTTAAGGTTTGATATAATTACATTTAGTATACCAAATTACCAATTTTATACCATAGTGTATTTTAAGGGTACAATTAATGCAGCGTATATCCCTCCTTAATTTAAGGTACCGTATATGTCACGACCCAATTTAGGATTGTGACCGGCGCTTAGGAGCAAGTGCTCCCAAGTAAGCCTCATCGGCAATTTTACAGAAAATCGGGCAAAGTTTCCCCCGTTTTTGGACCATCCAAAAAAATTTCCTGTCTCAAATCAACTACCAAACATCCTAATATCATACCCAACAATTGACAACTTGCCAATTAACTAATACAAGTCTCCACCATAACTAAATCACCAACTAACCACTAGAAACACTAATTTATCTCCAACTTTGATAATAAAAAACGATACTTAGCATAAGACTATAATAAATAAATAATACTCATGACACTAAAATAATGACTATGGAGAGACTCTAAGAATTCAAAGAATAGACCATAACAATAAATAAAATCTCCGTTCACGCGAACAAGTGCGAGGCTCGCCAAGAACTATCAACCTGTGCGCTCTAATTAACGAAATCCTCGCCTGTGTCAACTGCTGTCTCTAGAAAAAAAATTAGCAGGGAATGAGTCGCTAGCTCAGTGAGTAATAACACTTAACCACAACCGTTTTTATTGGGGACAAGTCAGAAAACATGCTAGTATCTCAAACAGATAACATCAAAATGCCTTTTCAGAAACAATAAATAATTTTCAGTCTCATCATGTTTTTTTCTTGTAGTATAATACAATTAAAAGTTCAGTAATAAGCTTGGTAACCACTGTATAATATCAAAATTCACCTTTGGGAGGTTTCAATGAACGGATCATGTAATCGGTATAATAGTGGACTTCTTCGCAAGAAGTCAAATATAACGGTAGTCCCTACTCGAGGGAAGTCGGTAACGGTATGCTAGTTCTACTTCCCACTAGCGAGGGCTATAACGGTAATCTGTAATTACAAGGTGCACCAGGTCTAACGAACCCGCCGTTAGCTACGGGATCCTTCAATGTCTTCTCCCATTTATACTTGTCTCTGTAATTCGTATATACTCGTAGAAAATATTTTAAAACAATATAGGGCATTTCAGTTTTTATCAAATCATGTAATTTCGTTTCAATAACGGTAAATCTTATCTCAAGTAACAGTAAAACGTATTCAGTAACAATGAGAATATTCAGAATAACTGTAATCGTCTAAAATAAATATAGTAGTATCATATCGAGTAAAGGACTTGTCCCACATACAGATTCAAATCAGTCGGTAACATGCTCACATTAAAATCATATGTAAATCATGCTAGTTGTAGAAATACAAATTGAGGTAAGGTTACTACTCACAGTACTCGTGCCGAAATACCAAATACTTCACCTCGTGCGATTCGTACGAATTCCTCCAATCAATCTATAATTACATAATATCGATCCCATGTTAATTTCCTCATTTAGGCTAAATCCATCACAAATGTAGAATATCCAAATCCTCCGAGTTTTATATTTCATCATCAATTCGTCGGATGTATTTTAATTACTTAATTCACTCTCATTATTCTATTCACTGTCAATCATCTCATTATTACAATTTATTGGCTAATCCTTAGTATCCAAATTTACAACCAGCAACAGTAGAGACAACGTGGATTTCTAATGCATTCTTATGTCCCCAAAACTTAAATCATTATTACACGATCATATGCCTTCCTCCTTATTACCCAATCACTAGGTGGCCATTATATCTTAAATTAAAGAGATAAAATTATAGTAGCAAAAACTTTATTTCAAAACAGACTACTCCAAACTTGAAATTACATATAATTTTTGTTAAACCATTAACTAATTAGTTATTATAATAATTAGTAAGTTATTTTTCCCCTAAATCATTACCTAATAATTGTAATACATAAATAATAATCACCATCCCAATTACGTATACAAATCACGTAAAGCGAGTTTCCAATTTAAGTTGGCAGTGGCTTTTCGTTCAACTGCTGAAAGTTGAGACTAAGAACTTTTAAAATTTCCAATTCCCAACCAGCGAAATCGCTACCCTTTAATTATTAAAGACCACTTGCTCCAACTTAAATGCACATACAAACGAAAGGATATTGATATTAATATACCTGATTGCTTTGATTTCTCTACCAAAGTTCCCGCACAGTGCCAATTTTTCAAAGTAAATTAATTGATATCTTTTCTGGTGTAGTGCCAACGTCTGCTCACCCTCCTTGTAACTTTTCCTATCTTGAAACCAGGAAGTTAATTCTTTTTCTTATCTACTCCCTAGGTCAAATCTGATAGTTACGTAAATGGGTTTGGCCCAACTTCTTTTTTTTGTTTTGTTTTTTGTTTAATAACCTTAGGTGGAGTTACGAAATTAGCCACTGGCCACTTATTTTATATATTATTATTATTATTATTATTATTATTATTATTATTATTATTATTATTATTATTATTTACTAATGACAAATACACCCTTACTAAAAATATAAGGTATTACAGTATCTCCCACCACTTCCACGTTTCTCTCTCCCAAACCCTCACCCTCATCCACGTTTTACTCAAACACGCGTTCTTTTTACCCCTTTTCCCTCTTCTAAAATCGCAGGAACATCGTTCACCCACCATTAAAGTTCAATTTAAATCTTTTTTGTCTACATTCAGTGAAAAAATGCTATGTCTTTTACGCCAAAACCCCACGCCCTACACTGGAAAGGGGTCTTTGTTGGCAGCCTCGGGTTACAAAAATTTCATAAATGACAATGTCTTTTACTGCAGAGTAACTTTTAGTATGTACTTCTGTTTCATGCAAACCAATTGACTGAGTTGGCTAGTCAAAATCTGAAGAGCTCCTTGTTTCCAACTTTTTTTTAATTTAATCTATGACCACCGATTCCTTTTTGGTTATTTGCCATTTGTTTAACTAGAAAGAATTTCCCTGGCAATTGTTTTTGTTTTTATCTCTTTAGGGGTATGGATGTTGATTTTTAAAGTTAAAAACGGATTTTCGACATAATTGCGTTTTTTGCAGAAGATTTATAGAAGTTTTAGTCGTTTTTGATTTGTGAAAACAGAAAACAAAGCATCTACAATCGGAATACAAATAATCTACAATTTATCTACAAAATATCTACAAACTGGGTACATTGAATTTTAATATCCCAATTCCCATTCAATTGTAGCTTAATTGGTATTTTCGACATAATTGAGTTTTTTGCAGAAGATTTTGTAGAAGTTTTAGTCGTTTTGGATTTGTGAAAACAGAAAACAATGCATCTACAATCAGAATACAAATAATCTATAATTTATCTACAAAATATCTACAAACTGGGTACATTGAATATTAATATCTCAATTCCCATTTCAATTGTAGCATAATTGGGATTTTCGACATAAGTGCATTTTTTGCAGAAGATTTGTATAAGTTTTAGTCGTTTTGGATTTGTGAAAACAGAAGATAATGCATCTACAATCAGAATAAAAATAATCTACAATTTATCTACAAAATATCTACAAACTGGGTACATTGAATTTTAATATCCCAATTCTCATTTCAATTGTAGCATAATTGGAATTTTCGACATAATTGCATTTTTTGCAGAAGATTTGTAGAAGTTTTAGTTGTTTTTGATTTGTGAAAACAGAAAACAAAGCATCTACAATCAGAATACAAATAATCTACAATTTATATACATAATATTTACAAAATGGGTACCCTGAATTTTAATATCCCAATTCCCATTCGATTGTAGTTTAATTGAAATTTTCGACATAATTGCGTTTTTTGCAAAAGATTTGTAGAAGTTTTAGTCGTTTTTTATTTGTGAAAACAAAAAATAAAGTATCTACAATCATAATACAAATAATCTACAATTCTTCTACAAAATATCTACAAACTGGGTATATTGAATTTTAATATCCCAATCCTCATTCGATTGTAGTTTAATTGGGATTTCGACTAGACATAATCTTAAAGATTCATTATAGTATTCTCAATTATAGATTGAGGGAAATATGTTAGAAAGCTACATCAACTACTTTGTCGAGTTTGAAAAATACTACCTAGTGACATCAATTGTTAGATTTGTCAACTTATTATTTTTCATGGAAAAAAATATAATGATATTTTCAGCTACAAGTTTAAGTGAGACTATAAGCAGAAAGATCAGGTGAAAATAGGAACAATTTTCAAAAGCCGGTCTCATACTCTGTCTCTCTGATTATTCACGTCATTTGATCTCTCAAAGAGAAAAAAATAATTAGAGATATCTAAATAAGGAATTTTAATGCTACAATGATTCCTTATTTAATGAAATATCTGGAAGAATATTTACTTCCATAATTGTAGCGCGCCTAAATAGGAATATCTGGAAGAATATTTAGTTCGAGATTTGTAGCGCGCCTAATTAGAAAGGAATCAGCTCCTAATAATTGGTATTTAATGAATGGTATAATATTTGTAGAATAACTGTGAATATGACGGGTAAATATGAAACTATGCACATTTTTGATAATAAGGTTTCATATATGGTATAAGAAGGAAAAAGATGATAAGGTTTGATACATTCCTATAAGGTTTACCATCTGAATAATATTCACATTATTAATTTTTCTCATTTTTTTTTATCTTTTTCAAACTTGATACAAAATAAATGGAATACCAACAAATAACATCTTTCTAGTCCATATAACTTTACTCTCGCATATGCATTTCATAACATATAATTAACGGTTGAAGAATGCCTAACTGAGCCATAAATTTATTGTCCAATAACAACCATTTAGAATTGAACAACTAAGAATTAAAAAAATTAGGGAAAGGCCATTTACCATTTTTTGGATTAAAAAAAAGAATATTAATAAACTCTATCTGTCAAAAATCCCAACTAATGTGGATAAATAAGATGATAGGAATTAGGAAGTCAGAGCCCAAGAGCCCAGAGGAGGATAAAAAGAGCAATTTCTTTCCCAAATAGGAAGCGAAAAAAGTCGGATCTTCAATTTGACTAAGCACACGTGTCAACATTATTACAACATGTGATACAATTCAGATATTAAATACAATGTAAATTTAATCAAATCCCAGCTCGAAAAATAAAAATATTCGCAAATAAAAAAGGAAAATATCTGAAGTGATCGCCGCCGCTGGCCGGCCAGTAATATAATAACCAGACTAGTACCAGACGAATAGTGAACCTTATAGTCGAACGTGCAAGCCTAAAATTGGACAGACCCTCCTTTCTACATAATCATCATTAATTAGTACCATGATTATGATTAGTGGTGCGATGATAATCTTAAAAAGTATTAATGGTTGTCATTTGTTTTCTCCTTTTTCCTTTCAATTGTCTCGGGGAAATATGGTTGCGTTTTCGCTTTAACAACTAAGTATAATAATATTTTGCGCTCACTAACTTAAAATCTTGAATACGTAAGTAAATGGAAGCAAACACACCTTTATTTAGGCATATTCAATATTTCAATTGCACTCACCATTTTGAACTAAAAGTACATATTTCCTTCGTTTAGAAAAGAGAGAATCTATTTCCTAATGGTTACTTTCTAAATTTGACAATAAAATAACTTTAAATATTTTATTTTACCCAATTTTTGTTCTCTATCTTATAAGTTCATCATTCCTATTGTGCCTAGTATCTCCGTCAAAGCTATTATCTAACAGAACCAAGATAAACATACAGGTACTTCGTCATCTGTGGATCTTTAAGACATTTTTCTAATTTATATAGTCATATTACAAATATACAAAAGTATCGAAAAATTCATTTGATAAAGAAGATATTGTTTGACTCAAAAGACACTAAAACTTTTTTTGACCAAATCAATCAAAGATGAAGGGGTAAATCTTAATTAGAGATAATTAACTCCAGATCGAAACGTTAATGATAATGAACGCATATGAGACGAAAGAAACATGATCGATCTTACTCAGATTTAACATTATCTACCTCACCCACTAATGAGCACTAATGAGAGAGTAGATTTACAGGTGTTCGTTGAGATCATTTCCTCTATTTTCTAACTAGATGAAGCATGTCCGTGCTCAGCACGGGCCCAACAAAGTGGTGCTGTGACAACCAATAAAAAAACACAAAAAGGTACGGCAGAAATGATTGCTTACACTACATACGAACAAAATTTCATATCCAAATTGACAGGTATATAGTGTATTGCAAGAACGTTGCATTACAAAAAAATGTTTCCTCTGTACTTACCCTCAAGAATCAGAAGAAGATACATCATAAAATAAAAACAAAGGAGAAAGTTTCACTAAACAGATATGTATAATTATTTTAGTAGACATCTTTTAGTTTCTTTCAAGCGTCGCAATTACCCCGAAAACATTTCCTTGCTTGGAGGCATTTGGAGGCTCACGCAGCACAACCGGCAAGCATAGCCAAGCCCAACCATTACAGTCAGGAGGCGTGTGGGTGTGACAGACATGTAAAGCGTATTGCTTTCGCATATCAATTTCCTTGAAGAATCATATTGGGTTCTCTCCATCTCCAATTCTGCCTTAACAAGAAGAATTAAGTTAGGATTTATCAGGATAGCTAATATAGAAATTATGTAAGTCCGGATTAAGTTTGAGCAATAAATACTACAGATCAGTAAGCTAAAGTTGAAGAGTCAACCATTAATCTTCCTCTAATGCAAAAGAATTTGCAGATTTTTCTAATATGTTGCTCTTTTGCATGTCAAAGTTTGAACTATGAGCTTGCTACTAATTGCTATAGCACCTACTAAAAATTGAATTTTCATTTCCCTTTATTACAATAATAGTGAGAGAACTACTTCCATTTATTTTCC